TGGGTGTGGGTGTGGCCGTCTCTTCTTTTTACTCACACCCACACCCTCAAGATAGGCTAGATAGCTTTCACCGTAAATGAAGAAAGAAGTCACTAAATGAGTTTTAGAAACAAAATATTTTCTATGTAGTTTGCTTTATAAGATTACATTTGAATCTAGTTCGATAGAATTAGCTATTAATTCATTTGAAGAGTTCGCACAATCATTACAACCAATGAAGCATGATAGATGTATATTATCATCACTTCAACATATTACTTTTTGTCTATTATAAATAGGAACGTATTATTCGTATCGTAATATTATTGTTTGTTCGAAAAGAAATAGAAATATTACTTATCTTTCTTTGCATTTCATTCTGCAAGAAAGAGATATCTGTTTCAAATGGTGTATGTGTAAATATGTCCCATGTGACACTTAGTTAAAATATATAGAGATAACGCAAGAAAAATGTGTTTTTTTATTTAATAAAAAGAATTCAGATTTTCTAACACATTCTTAAAATTTTTCAATTAGATGGGGCTCGGCACATGTCTAGATACAAAATGGTTATTTCTTTTTTCTAGATTCGTAAAGTATTGTCGAAAAAACGTATGGCTCAATCATTCCCAAGTTGCAATCAAGAGAAATGGGATAATGCATCTCTTTTCAGCAGTGCACAAGAATTCAATGATCCAGTAAAATTGAACGTGAATACTAAATTACCTTCATGGTTTAAAGGTTGTTTATATCGCAATGGTCCTGGACAATTTGAATTGAACAATAATCCTGATGCCAGTGTTAATCATCCATTCGATGGATTTGCATGTATAAATAAATATGATATCGATGGAGAAAAGAATACAATTTATTTTCAAAGTCGTTTTATTAAATCTCGTACATATAAAGAATCATTGAAACGTGGATGTCTCGTTACAAGACAATTTGCTACTGATCCCTGCAAAAGTTTATTTGGTCGATTTCAATTGTTATTTTCACCACTTAATCCAGAAACATATTCTGATAATACTGTTGTAACTATTCAACGAGTAAATAATGAATTATTAGCTCTAACAGAAATCGTCGTAGGTTATGTAATCGATGAAAAAACATTAGAAACAGTTGCATCTCTAACTTCGCTACCATTTACAAAACCAATACCAACAGAAATTTTGACATTAACTGCATCTCATGTAATGTATGACTCAAAAAGAAAAATGACTGTAAGCTACGCTACAAGAATATCACTATTACATGGACAATGGTTAGATGTTTTATTCATATCTGATGATGATATAAATCATTCTAGTGATAATACAAAGTTGAACAAAACTGGTATGTTATATTCATAATCTCTTCTTATTTGAATATAGTACTTTTGTCCTATTCCAACAGCGTTCAATTTCTCGAACTTTTACGATTATAAAATATACCTGAAAAAAAATGAACTAGAACTAATACTACAATAACTTTTTGTTTCATAAAAAAATAGATCATTTGAAATTATTATCTAAAATTAATCTTATACTTTTATTTTCAATATAGACAAAGATGAACGTAATAATATTGATGATAATGATAATGATGATGATGATGATGATGAAAATGTTGATGAAGGTAGATTTATTTTAATAAATAACAATATGAATAAACGTGGTAAAAGATATAATCAACTAATCAGATCAAACACAAAAACCTTTCGTTACTATTACACTGATTCTGCTTCTTATATGCATAGTGCATCAATTAGTGAAGATTATTTGATTTTATCAGAGATTCCTTCACATTTTTCTTTATTTAATACAATTCGAACAATACTTACCGGTGATGTAGTAACAAATATGTTCAAATGGAATCCTTCTCTACCAACATATTTTCGAATCATTCGTTTAGACAATGGTGAAGAAGTAGCACGTATAGCAGGTCCAGCATTTTTTACATTTCACCATATAAATGCTTATCAAATAAATGAAAATAATGGAAATGAAATTGTAATTGATATGTGTACTTATGATGATAATCGAATTGTTGATGAATTTTATTTAAATAAAGTTCGTCAAAATCTCTTTCCATCTGGTTTTGGTTATGTTAGACGATTTCATCTCAATTTAGATACGAAACAATGCTCAGAACCTTATAAAAATCTTCAACAATTACCTAAAGGTCAACAAATAGCGCATCCAATTAGTCATATGAATAGTCTTGTTCCGGTACAAATTGAATTTCCTAGAATAAATTCTCGTTATATAGGACAATTCTATCGTTATGTTTATGCAGTTCGAGGTCCTCCAAATTATATGATGGATGCATTAGTCAAAATTGATATGCAAACGCGTCAAATATGTGGCTTTTGGCAAGAATCATGTACATCTCCTTGTGAACCAGTTTTTGTTCCCAAACCAGAGTCAACCGAAGAAGATGATGGAATTGTTCTAACTATTATTTTCGAACAACAACCAAACAAATCATTTATACTCTTATTAGATGGAATTACTTTCAAAGAAATAACTAGAGCCTATCTACCGGCACCAATACCATTTTCACTTCATGGAAATTTCTACTAAACTATCATTTGAACACATTTGTTTTTAAACAGTCAGAATTGCTACACTCTTTCCGGCCGGTTATTCAAAAAGTCTTGAACTCCCGGTGCGGAGATAGATACTAAAAGTATGACCGACTCGTCCGCAGAAGATAAAATAAATACAAACTTAATCAGAATCTACAACGAACCAAAGTTTATTTTGATCCTCTCAGCTACTCCTTATTTTTATTTGCTATTTATCTGTTATAAAAGAGCACAGCGTAAAGGCTACGCGACTTTCGTCTGGACTGTTCTCTTGTCTTAAAGATCTAGTACAATAAATGAGATGTTACCATCAAACTGTTCAAGAGGATGATAATCATCGCGATTTGCATTTTTTTAAACTATACATTGGTCCATAGATTGCTGTTCAATTTTGCCTCGTAGATACGCCGGATAGTTCGGCTTGTTGTACCAACAATCACATGTGTAAAACCTCGACGACGAATATTATTAACAGACTTCGTAGCGGCTCCTCGTCAGAATATAGGACTACATAGGATTCTTCTACTAGATTTTCACAGGATTTTTATCCAAAATATCGGACTTGTATAGAATAGTTTTTTTCTTACTGAAAATCTCGAGATAAGCTTCTTCTGACCATTTGTCGATGTTTTCGTTAGATAATATTAAACCTTATTTTGCACACGTTTTTTTCTCTTGAAAATTATTCATTCAAAAATAATTAAAAAGTCTATTTTGACTTAAACGTTTTCGCATCAAGATTAATTTTTCTTTGACGGCAAATAATATTCATTAGAGTTTAATATTAGAAAAGAGTTTCTCATTTTGATAATTAATTCAATTCGATAAAGTGTGAAGAGAACTGAACATGATATTTTCTCTCATTCGTCTTTCTTCTTGTTGTTTTGCCCATTCTCTTAGACGTTGTTTTGATGGTGTGGGTGTGGATTGAAAACAAAGACAATCAAACTCACACCCTCAATGTATTATGCACATCCACATCCAAGATGTGAGAATTCAGTACACTTATGAGATATTTTAATACGGAAGACATCTATATTGGCAAAGTTAATGAAAAAACAAAAAAAACAATGTGTGACTAATTCTTCGATCATCAGAACAGCGAGTAAAACTAAACAAGCAAGATAAATTAATAGGGTCTAGGACAGTTGCTCGCCGAAGCATTTTCTCGCGGATATCGAAGTCTGAATTCATGTTTGAGTACATAGAGTTAAGCAATACATATACCTGCGCCGTCGCTAACACCCTGATGTAATGCGATTGTTTCGTTTTATACCAGTAGAGAGCGTAACACCAAACATTTATCGAATAACATCTCAATTTTTTGATCCGACAAGATCACTTGTTTTTAACTAATTATCTCGGTTTTAACCAGACTGATCATAGATCAACTAGTCAACATTGGTCTGTTGAATTGACTGATGGTAGAAATTGCGCCATAAAACAAGCTGATGAACTTTACTGGTATTTGAGGAAAGATCTTCAGCCTTACAAACTTAAAGTTGATTCCAAAGAATATTTCTGTGCATGGTGTCTCATGGAAGAGGGAGATTTTACTGGAGCAAAAACTCCATTATAAGAACTATATAAAAATTAAATAAAAGAATGATTCTTTATAAATGTGGAGAGAAAATAAACGTTTAGAATGACGATATAAAAATAAAGAGAGAAATAAGCGTAAACATAAAGTTATTTTGTTGATAAAAAGGGTGTGGGTGTGGGTGTGGGTGTGGGTGGTCTCCTTATCTTAAGCCACAGCAACACATGCGCCGGCACCCTGTCATGGGTGTTTCATTGCTTTTTATTTTGATCTGCAAATTCTCAGAATGAGAATGGATTCGAAAGCAGTAGAACTACAATCTTTTCGCCGAAGTTTTTACTTCGCTTGATTGTATTTCTTTTTTCCAACATCACAATAGGCATGATTCTTTTCTTTCATTGTTTTAAGCAGATGAATTCTCATTTTTTAAAGATTGGGTACGAGTGTGGGCATGGAAGCAAAGTAGATGACACCCACACCCTCAAGATGGATACATTCTTTCGAAAATAATATATATTTGTCGTGAACAGATGAAATGGTTCGGCAGGTTCTAACTTTTATTTATTTTTTAATTTAACATACCCACACCCTCTCGAACAATCCGAGAAGAAAAACAATGATTGATATTAGCAAACAGCGCATAATACAAGTGCTAGATATAGTGATAAAAGGATCAATGTAATAATTTATTTGTAACAAAATTAATCTTGACGATATAAATGCGACATGAATATAATATCCACATCTCTAAAGGATATTTATTATTATGAAAAGAAAAGCAGGATTATATATTAAAAGCAAAAAGTAAGATTAAATTTCAAAGATGTATATAATAAAAGAAAAGATTATGAATAACCATTGAAAACAAGCATTGACAGAAACATATGATATTCCACCGGATGTCGTTTGTTTATCTAAATATAGAAAGGGATATTGATGAAATTATAAGAAATATTTCAAACGTACAGCATAAAACGGAGAATTTTTGAATTCGATTGTTTTCAGTATCAGCAACAATCAAAGTTCCATCTGAATCTAATTTTATATTATATGGATAAAATAGCTGATTTGGTAATACTCCAAATGTTGAACTTCCACCAATGACTACACCTGCAGTTGATCCTTTCATCCATAACATAATACGATTATTATAGGTATCTGCAATGTACAAATTTCTATAGCTATCTGCGATTACTGATGATGGATTACACAATTGTTGAAGTTGGTTTCCGCAAAGACCTGTCTGTCCAGCTACTGTTTTTCCACTTACAGCACCTGATGACCACATTTGAATTCGGTGATTATAATTGTCTGCAACATAAAAAGTGTTTCCATTATTCTCATCAACAAATATTCCAGTTGGATGATTGAATTGATTTGATTCTGTTCCATAATTTCCACAAATGATAATACCTGCAGAATTAGTTTGCCATCGAACTATTCGATTATTACCTGTATCTGCTATCCAAATGATTAATTTTGAGTCGATAAATATTCCATAAGGATTATTCAATTGATTAACAGAAACACCATTACCATTTCCACCAGCAACGATCATACCATTTGTAATACCAGGTTTCCATTTCGTCACACGATTATTCTCACTTTCAAGAATATAAATATTGCCACTTATATCTACACTAATTGCACTCACTAAAATAAACAAAAAAAAAGTATTACATATCAATTGTCAATAGTTAAGACTTGCAGGTTGTGAATTGATGAAGTTCAAGAACGTAATAACTAACATTGATTACTGTTGTTCCAATAGTCGACGATGACTGAAAACGTTGTACTCGATAATTTAAAGAATCCAAAACATAGAGCATATTATTCTTGTCAATGAATATATCATAAAAGTGTGAAAGAGATGTTGATGTATAATCAGGTAGACCTAGTGATGAACCAGCAATAGTCGAAGCATTAGAATACCAAGTTGTCATTGAACAACTTGTATTTAAATTCGGTGCTGAAAAAATACAATTAAAAGTTATTCCAATTATCTATAGTTCTTTAATAGAATAACTCTCACCTGGTGTTGGCATCGATGGAACCATTGTTGTCGAAAGATTTGTTGATACATCTGTAAAAATATCGAATATAGATTGAACAAATAAATACTATTAATGAAACTTACGACAAGAACAAACAAATTTTTGAATTCGACTATTATATGTATCTGTAACAAATAATGATCCACTTGAATCAAAATTAATATTTGCTGGATATTGAAATTGAAATGCTTGTGTATCTAAATCAATTCCATTTGCAATAATTATACCTGAATATGCTCCAATCATCCATTTCAAAATTCGATTATTCCAATAATCAACAATATACATATTTTGATTGTTATCAACCATTACTGCTTCTGGATACCATAATTGATTAAGACCACTACCATAATAACCTGTGATTCCAGCTACTGTTTTTCCACTTATAGCACCTGATGACCACATTTGAATTCGATGATTAGAATTGTCTGCAACATAAAGTGTATTTGAATCACTTGTATCAATAAATAATCCTGTTGGATACATAAATTGATTATTTTCTCTTCCATAACTTCCACAAACAACACTGCTGTTAGTTGGTGATAACCATTGCACTATTCGATGATTGTTCGTATCTGCAATCCAAATCGTCGATGTATTTGAATCGATAAACATTGCATTAGCCCGATTTAATTGATTAGTATTATTACCAAGTCCATTTCCACCTGCTACAATTGTTCTATTAGAACTTCCTTGTTGCCATTTCGTCACACGTCCATTATCACCATCAAGTATATAAATATTTCCATGTTTATCAATACTCATCGCATTCACTATGCAAATGAAATATATACATTAGATTTTATTTAAATAATATTTTTGAACTTACTAGAAAGAAATTGATTGACATCACTACCGTTACTACTATTGATAATAGTTGTTCCAACAGTGGAATTGAAAGATATACGTTGTACACGATAATCACCAGAATCTAATACATAAATAGAATTATTGTTATCAATATAGACATCCGTTGGTCTTCGAAGCAGTGATGCATCATCTCCTATTACCATGACAGCATTTCGTTGCCATATTGCCGTAGGACATATAGATAATGCGAGACATTTTTCCATCGAAAATCTATATAGAGAATGAATAAAATCATTTGATAAGATGAAAATATACTTACCTGTTCAATAGTACAGTTATCCACAATAATTGTTTGAATTTGAAATGAATCATTGTGATTATTTTTCTAAAATATTTCAGGGACAAATTTATATTACAAACTTCACTTTGTATTCACACTATTTGTTAGAAAAACAGTAAGAAGCAAAAGTATTTAAATGAGTCTTCTCTGAAAATCATTCAAGCAAACAACAAGGAAATGAGCAGTTTGATATGTAGCAACACACGTCTTCGCAGAGTAATAGAAAAAAAATCGAAGGTTTGAAACATTTA